TATTAAGTGGTTGTAAATACCATAAAGGACTTTGTTGTTTTGCTTTTCTTCCAAATATAAATTTGCTGTCATTTATAACTTTCCTCTTGATACATCTTCTCTATGCACATCCAAGAAGAATAAAATAATGCTGAGTTTTACCTAATAATCTTTATAATATACTAGAGGCCCAGTGCACAAAAATTTGTGCACTCGAGGGCAGGGGGTGGGGAGGTGGTCCCTCAGCCCGGCCTGTGCCCTATCACAGTCTGTGAACCCTCCGGGGATGACCATCTGCTGGCTAAGGCCTGCTCCCCAGGGGATTGGGCCTAAGCTGGCAATCAGACATCCCTCTGGCATCCCAGCAGCCCTCAGGGGATGTCCACTTGCCAGCGGGAAGCAGACCTAAGCTGCAGTTGGACATCTTTAGTGCTGCTGAGGAGGCAGGAGAGGCTCCCACCACCACCGCTGGACTGGCAGCCATCAGCCTGCCTTGTGGCTGAGCTCCATGTGGGAGCTAACTGACCACCAGAGGGCAACTCCTGCATTGAGCGTCTGCCCCCTGGTGGTCAGTGTGTGTCATAGTGACCAGTCATTCCCATCCTTTCTGCTGTTAGGGTCAGTTTGCATATTATCCTTTTACTATATAGGATAGAGGCCTGGTGCATGGGTGGGGACCAGCTGGTTTGCCCTGAATGGTGACCCGGATCAGGGTGGGGGTCCCTCTTGGGTGCCTGGCCAGCCTGGGTGAGGGGATGATGGCTGTTTTTAGGCTGCCCGCACCCCCTTCAGGGTGGAGGTCCCCACTGAGGTGCCTGGACAGCCTGGATGAGGGTCTGAGAGCTGTTTTCAGGCTGCCTGCACCCCATTCAGGGTGGGGGTCCCCACTGGGGTGCCTGGCCAGCCTGGATGAGGGGCTGAGGACTGTTTTCAGGCTGGCCCCACCCCCTGTAGGGTGGGGGTCCCCACTGGGGTGCCTGGCCAGCCTGGATGAGGGGCTGAGGGCTGTTTTCAGGCTGGCCCCACCCCCTGTAGGGTGTGGGTCCCCACTGGGGTGCCTGGCCAGTCTGGTTGAGGGGCTGAGGACTGTTTTCAGGCAGGCCAAGCCTGCAACTGAAGCTCACAGTCTCTCCTTTTTTTCTTTTATTTTTTATTCTGGGATTTATTTACCTTCTGTAATTGAAACTTTGTTGTGGCTCCAGCTCTGAGGCTGGCTGGCTGAAAGCAGGTATCTGGGGTTTGTTTAGCTTCTATAATTGCAACATTGTTGCATCCGGAGCTCAGAGCCGTGCTTCGGCAGGCGGGAAACCTTGGCTTCCTCCATCGCCGAGGCAACCAAGCCTCATGTTCTCTTCAGCTGAGTGGCTGCCGGCTGCCATCTTGGTTGGCAGTTAATTTGCATATCCTGCTGATTAAGCCAATGGAAAGCGTAGCGGAGGTATGGTTAATTACCGTGTTTGTCTATTATTAGATAGGATGTTTAAATTTACTAACAATCTAATTCTTAATTTCATAGTACGGGAGCAACAGAAATCACTGATAGTACTTATTTCACTTTCACCTTTTCTGTGTTCTTTGAAATGTAGTATTACTTGAAATTCATATTTTTAAGCATTGAATATGTTGTTTTTTGGTTTGCATTGCATTATCTCATGGAATTAAAAGAGTTAACTATAATAACTATAATTCTTTTATTTTGAACTGTATGTAATTATCAATATTTAGCCTCTTTTGATCAATAAAAATAATAATTTTACCTGATGCAATCCAATAGAGAGGCATGTATTGCCAACATAATGACTGCTTTAAGATAATTTGTTTTTATTATTTTTTTATGAATGAATTGAATATTTCATTTTATTTATTGTTTCAATTACTTAGTTGCAACCATCCAATCAATAGATATTTTTAAATATTTTATTTTTAATTTTTACTGACCATGAACCCATCTACTAAGTTTTACTTCCACATACTGATTTGCAGTTTATTGTACTGAGTTAAAGTTTGTATTATATATATTTGCATAAGGTGCATTTTATTATATCTGTACTAGTATCTGCAGTGGTATCTCCAGCTGTATTCTCAGTGCTATTGAGCCATCAGAAAAATCACAGCATTATAAATGCCAGCAATATAGGGAACCTTTAATATTTTATTAATATTGAGGAGCATTGGGACCTATATGTGGTATTAGGACTTATATGACTCATATAGAGCAAAATATCCTATAATGTTTTGGTTTAAACATTTAAGTAGTTATTTTTCTGCACAGTCATTTCATTTCATTGTAAACAGAGAAGATGGAGCAAATTTCTGGAAATATTTCAAGTTTAAATGTGTAGCTTTGGATTTATCACCTTTGAAAGATCTGAAATGATAATTCTATTTATTTCTTATGAACCTCAAAAATGAAACTTGACAGGACAGTCCTCTAAGCCTGAAAAATCTCTAATAAACAGGAATAACTCAGAAGCTCTTTTTGGTTGCAGTCTCTCATATTCAGAGTTCACTTTTTCATCTTTCAGTTATCTTACCGAGCCAGTAATGATCTCGTCTTTGTTTACTCCTGGAAGTAATTTGTGTAATACAGACATCTTTTTCTGTTTATAAGGATTTTAGTCTTATGTCAATGTGTTATTTTCTCTAACAAAATTACAGTATTTGGCAGGTTGGCATAGAATTGCTGTTCTTGGTAGGATTTGAAATATTGTTCTCTTTCAGTAAAAGATAGCTATTTCCAGACATTGTAAAATCAGGCATTACTGCTCGCTCACAGAATTCCTCACATAATATGGTTTCTTTTGCTGTTTATGAGTGCCTGCACCAAAATTCTACAGAAAGTCTGAGCCTTGTGTTTCCCCCAAATGCTGCAGCTTTGATACTCTAGTCACATTACCCTCCTTCTCAGACATCACTAAGGACGATATTCCTATTCTTCTGTAATTTTATTTGCATTTTCTCTACTTGTCATTTTATTCTTTCAATGTGCTGACATATGGGGATTTCTTCACCTCCTTGCACAGAGTTCTAACACCTCTCCCTACTATCTTTTTGTTTTTGTTAGAAATTATGGTAGAATTTAAATGTTTATTTTGCTGTTTTTTCTCCATTTTTTCCATTTATAACTTTTTAAGTATTGTTCCAAAATACAAGTACTTGATGCTTTTTTTTTTTTTTTTTTCAGTTATATCTCTTCCGTTAGCTTTGGATAATACTTTCAGGATTTATTTTCATTAAGGAGGACTCTACCTTTTGGAGGGTTTCTTTTATTTATTTATTTATTTTTGTTTGAAAAGTCACTTTGGCTGAAATATGCATTGTATAAAAAGATAATGTTTTACCTCATCAATGCCATAAATATTATAAGGCAGGTGTTTACATATTATGGAACATTTAAGTTACATGATTTTCTTCTGTTTTTATATTGAGGACATTTTTTATAAAGACTTTTTTTTGAGTTCTGATTCATTATTTTCTTCTTAAGTTCCTACAACATCTAATAATTTGTTTGGTTCAATACAACAGAATCGCTTTTAGACCTATTATCTTTGTTACTACCATGTAAATGGAGCATTATGGTTCATACTCTGGACCTGGTTTTTTGGTTGTTTTTTTTTTTTTTTTAGCATTGACATAGTTTTACGATAGCTTCATGAAATCTATTTTTATAATAGTGTTTTTCTTTGGGATACTAGTGTCTTTTATGTCAAATGCCCAAAAATTCTATTATAGCACCATTAAAATACTTTAGAATATGTGAAACTTCTTTAAGGCTTCCTAATTTTTGTTCTCTCTCTCTCTCTCTCTCTCTCTCTCTCCCCCTTTCTCTCTCCCTCCCTCACTCCCTCCCTCCCTCCCCCCTCCCTCCCTCCCTCTCGTGCACGCACACACATACACAAAGACGCTCCTATTTTTTTGTTGAGCTAAATTTCACTTATTTTGCAATTTTTTATTTGGTGGCATGAGTTTCATCATCAGTCCCAAGATTTTTGTTTTATTATTTATGTTGCCCCACCATCAATTTATAGTGTTTTGTGTTTGTTTCAACCTGGGAGTTAGTTAAATGTACTGTGTAATAAAATGCTGGTCCAACTAATGCCTACTTTTTTCCCATATTGCTTTAGCAAATTAAATGTTAAATGTGTGTGAATTTCTGTTGTCTGCCTCCAAAATGGGGCAGTACAACTTTGGTGTTTGATTTGTGAATGCTTTCTTTCAAAGCATTCTTCTCTTGTTTGCTCATAAAATGTCTTGTACTTCCTAATCATAGATTCATAAAATCATGGTAACCTTCAAGGTTACCATGTTTCAGAGGGAATTTAAGCATACCTTCTGATGTTGAAATTCTTTCTTTGCCCAGTAATTCCATCTACACTTTTAGCATAATCCTGATCACTAGAATCAACAGTAGTTGTCATCATTGCTTTTCTTCTCTTCCCTTCTTTTTCCTCCTCACAACTTCCTAGTATTGAAAAATATTTCATTTCTAGCATTCTGGAAATTTAAGCAATTGCTGTTGATGATGTTAATAAGAAAAAGAGGAATATGATGTTTTAGAAAAGAAAATGGAGGTGATGTCAATGGTAGTGATATTTTTTAAGTAAGCCATGGAAAAGATAAAAGAGTATATACTGCTAGATATGTGTAGGATAGACAACTTAGGACTCAGAAAGGCAAGAGGCAGAATCTGAGAAGATATGAGGAAGATAACATCTACATCGTCCTAGTCATAAACTTCTAACAATGCCATCATTTAAAGGTAGGAAGAGAGTAAAGTCACTCTTACATTTATTATTTCCAAAGGTAAAAGAGCTTTATAAAATATAATAATAGTAAATATAGTAGTTTTGCAGTACATTTCTGTACACTATCACAGAGGAAGTCCTTGAAAAGTTCTAGTGCATGGTAGCATAAGTGGAAATTATTTCTCTTAAAAAATGGTTTTATTGAATGTAAACCTATTCACATAATCCTTCATATTGACATGATTTCAGTCTTCCAATCCTGCTTTTTCTCTACAGCATACTCATTTTCTCAATCTTGAGTTCTCAATTCACAGTGGTTTTTCAAGGACCATATTTTTGAGGTTGGTATAAACTATATAGAATTAAAGTAATAAATTAACTCCTAGCCCATTTGCTGGGTTTAAACCCTAACAGCTCAACAAACTCAATTGGATAAGAAGACTTAGGTCGAATTTATTATTGCCAGAATGTTAATGTGCATGCTCTGGTACTGTTTTTGGCAAAGTATTGTTCTTAATTCTTTGTCTTCAGATAGGTCAGCTCTTAAAGTGGTTGCTTATTAGTGTACCCCAAATCACTCACTGGTATTCTCCAAATAAAAGATGTAACTAAAATAATTGTCTATCAGAACCAAATGGATTACTTATTCCAGCTGGAAAGATTCCCTGTCTACTTCAGATGGACATTTTTAGAGAATGCTGGTGGGGAGAAGAATGTGAAAGAAAGGATTGCTTCTTTTTCTTTCTCTAGTGAAAATATATAATTACTAATATATAATTACTAATATATAATTTATTAGTAATACCTTGAATAACTTGGTTATCGTCAACTTTCATAGAGAGAACTTCAGGTGCTTTGGATTTTAAAATAGTTTTTTACTGAGCCAAATCATCTGGACAAATTCCAGGAGGACTAAAGATAAGGCTTAATTTGGTGGACAGGATTTAGAATTACCAATGGTTCTTTATATTGAAAGTGACTTAGGCATATGCAATAAGAGACTTATGCTGTTTATCCCAAAAAATACCATATTGCATTAAAACCAAAAGTTTTACAAGGTCCACTAAAAGAGTAATCTGGAATAAACCTAGTAATGGTCCTAATAGGTACTTAGCAATGGCTTGAATATGTCAGATTAAGATTATTCTTTGTGATAAAAAAAAAAAAACAGTTGAGAAAAACACATCTTGCATGGAGTGCATAATTGGAGCTTGAAATGGAAGAAATTTGGAATTTTTAAAAAAGCAAATATAGGCTAAAATATTTTTAATTTTTTGAATATTTGTTTTCTGTTGACATAAAATACTGTATAGAGTTTTATTTTATATACTTCCTTACTATGATATGTTTCCATTAAGTCATATATGAAATTTGTGAATTAGAATTCTTTTTAAAAAGTCACCTATCAGATCAGAATGAATGGGTTCTTGAGGGCTATGAAATTGTATACTGCTAATGCTATAAAAAGCAATCACCTGTAAAAGTTTATGTTTAGATATAGTCCCCATAGCTCAGGGAAGTAGAAAGCATATTTTCTTCCTATAGAAACTGCCATATTTTAAAATTAGGAGTGCAGTAATATTTTAAGAAAGCAGTTTTTCATTTTTTTAAAAATTGAAAAAAAAAGGGTAAAACCGTAAATTATATCCCAGTATTGAACCATGCTTAAAGAATCTTAATTAGAATAGGCTTATAGAACATTATATTCAGAAACAAGACTGAGGCTTTTAGGGTAACTCTTAGTCTCACAGAGCCCTTATTATGTAAACTAGAGGCCCGGTGCACAAAAATTTGTGCACTCGGGGGGGAAAGGGGGGTCCCTCAGCCCTGCCTGTGCCCTCTCGCAGTCTGGGACCCCTCGGGAGATAACGACCTGCTGGCTTAGGCCTGCTCCTGGGTGGCAGAGGGCAGGCCCAATCCCTAGGTGCAGCCCCTGGCCGGGCTCAAAGCAGGGCCGATTGGGGAGTTGGGGCGCCGCCGCCTGTCATGCACAGAGCAGGGCGGATTGGGAGATTGCGATGCCACCCTCAGTCACGCTCAGGGTAGGGCCGATTGGGGGGTTGGGGCACCGCCCCCTGTCACACTCAAGGCAGGGTCGATAGGGAGGTTGTGGCGCCACCCCCTGTCACGCACAGAGCAGGGCCCATCAGGGGGGTTGGGGCTCCGTACCCTGTCACGCACAGAGGAGGGTCAACCAGGGGGTTGGGGAGCTCCCCCCTGTCACTCACAGAGTAGGGCCGATAGGGGAGTTGGGGCACCGCCCCCTGTCACACACAGAGCAGGGCCGATCAGGGGGTTGGGGCGCTGCCACTGTCACACTCAGGGCAGGGCCAATGGGGAGGTTATGGCTCTACCCCGTCACACACAGAGCAGGGCCCGTGGGGGGGGGGGGGGTTGGGGCACCGCACCCTGTCACACACAGAGCCGCAGGGCGATCAGGGGGTTGGGGAGCTCCCCCGTATCAGGCACAGAGCAGGGCTGATCAGGAGGTTGGGGCTCCCTCCCCTGTCACGACCAGAGTGGGGCCGATAGGGAGGTTGTGGCCCCACCTTCTGTCACACACAGAGCCGCAGGGCGATCAGGGGGTTTGGGCGCTGCCCCCTGTCATGCTGATCCCGGTGCCAGGAGGCCTCGCGGCTCCGCTGATCCCAGTGCTGGGAGGCATATTACCCTTTTACTATATAGGATAGAGGCCTGGTGCACATGTGGGGGCCGGCTGGTTTGCCCTGAAGGGTGTCCTGGATCAGTGTGGGGGTCCCCACTGGGATGCCTGGCCAGCCTGGGTGAGGGGCTGAGGGTTGTTTGCAGCTGGTCACACACCCTTCAGGGTGGGGATCCCCACTGGGGTGCCTGGCCAGCCTGGGTGAGGGGATGATGGCTGTTTGCAGCTGGTCACACACCCTTCAGGGTGGGGGTCCCCACTTGATTGCCTGGCCAGCCTGGGTGAGGGGATGATGGCTGTTTGCAGCTGGTCACACACCCTTCAGGGTGGGGGTCCCCACTGGAGTGCCTGGCCAGTCTGGGTGAGGGGCTGAGGGCTGTTTTCAGGCTGGCGGGTGACGGAAGCTCCCAACTGCTCCTTTTTTTCTTTTTTCTTTTTTTATTCTGGGCCAGCTTTAGCTCTGAGGCTCCAGCTCTTAGGCCTCCGCTCTTGAAAGCAGGTATCTAGTTTGTTTCGGTTCTATAATCGAAACTCTGTATCAACTCCTGCTCTGAGATCCCGGCTCGTGAAAGCAGGTTTCTGGCATTTTGTTTAGCTTCTATATTTGTTACAATGTTTCCTAAACTGCAAGCTCAGAGGCCGGCAAGGCAGGCAGGGAATTTGGAGTCCTCCGTCACTGAAGCAAGCAAGCCTCATGTTAGTTTCAAGCTGCCTGGCTGCCAGCCACCATCTTGGCTGGCAGTTAATTTGCATATCTCGCTGATTAGCCAATGGGAAGGGTAGCGGTCGTACGCCAATTTCCATGTTTCTCTTTTATTAGATAGGATTGCACAGAAATAATAGAAAGTATGTAGAGCTAAATGGGGACTTAGAAATCATCTTTTTGTGAAGAAGAGAATTAGAAGTGGACCAACCTTAGCGTGGGAAACCTGGCAAACCTTGCTAAAGATATAAGGCAGGAATTTATGTGAAGATATATTAGGTATGTCTTCCAGAGCTACTGTAGATTTTAGTTTAGTGGATGGGGCCTCAAGAATTACTACAGTCAATTGTAGCCTGCATGAGTTTGAAACCCAAGTCTGCCAGTTTTTGCCAGTTTTTAGCTGTAAAACCCTGAGCAGGTTAATCTCTCTTACCCTAAATTTTCTTATTTTAAAATGTAGATTAAAATAGCACTTCTTAGGATTGTTGTGAGGATGAAAGTAATTCTAAATTCTACTTAGAATTTAGCAATCAATAAATGTTCTTATTAGTGAATTTAAAAACAAGGAAGTCTTAGCAACTTAATGGGACAAATGTTGGAGGTATTTAGCAATGTCTATTATCTATCTAGAACCTTGTATTTTTCAATCATTAAAGGTAATATACATAAATTGAATTCTTTTGTGATGTGGAGTATTGTGTGATTTAGAGTTATTGGTTCTTATTAAAAATGTAGATTTTCTAAGGAAACACTAAATCATGTTTCCTATAACATCTGTACTAAGTATATTAAAATACCCCAATTTATTGAAAAAATGTTCATTCTTGTTAATTCAGTTGTTATTAATAATGGTAATTAATATACTGTTACTCTCAGTTAACCCAAATTTCCTGGATTATGAGCCATTAAAAGAGTTAGCTATGGAAGTCCTCAGAAGAGATGGGAAAATTCATGCAGCAGAGGGAGACTACAGTTTTTAAATCATTCATAGTAATAGAGTATAATAAAAAGAAAAGCCGAGTTTCTCACCCAATCATTGTAAAATACTATACTCAGAATTAAAAATTACTAGGGAGACCAACAAATGAAATCATCACATATTTATTTAATGCTTTTACTAGGACTTGCTGGAAAATGATAATCTACTTGAAGGAATAAAACAGACATGCCAAATCCTAAATAATAACAAAAAAATAAAAATAAGGGATCATAAGTGAGTACCTGATTAATTAATAAAGTAATTTGCAATAATTAGCGTAGGAAATCAGAAGACAAAGAGAGCTTTTAGTGTCAGATGGATGGAAATTTCCTTCAAGGAGGAAGCAGTATCTGAGCCTGGTTTTGGTTGACCAAGAGGTAAGAGATAAACAGCAAAAGGCAGCTGGAGTCAGATAGTAGAAATAGGAATCTTGCCAAAGGACACTGGGACTTCATTTCATAGCTGCAGACCATAGAGGCAGATACACAGCCCACCATAGATTTTAGAGGTAGAATAGCTTCCTGTTTGTGAAGACATTTGGGAAGCCCATAACTGTTTACGGGCTATTTAGCAGCACCGGCCCTGAGAGGGGAGGGGGGGATCAGCTGTAGTCATAAACTGAAGATTGATGCTAACTTAATAGGAAAACCTGAAATCTTTAGCAGCATAAAATAGGGTGAAAGAAAATAAGTATACTTATCTTTAAAGATTAAGTAGTAATTGAGATCACCATCCTTATTATGTGTAGCAGAGACTCAGATATTTACCTCTGTTTATTAGACATTTCTTTTTCAGAAAAAAATCTAAAGGGTATGTGTGTGTGAATATATTATTTTCATTGCAAAGTATTTCTGGACCCATTTATAAGAATTTTCAAAACTAAAATGCTAACAGCCTATACATTGTTATTTTTAGAAGTTATGTTAGTATGTTCATGCTCTTGAGGGAAATGGTTTGTCACTTTTTCTTTTAAAAAACGTTGGCTTTGTATTTAAACAGAGAAAATGATGCTAGAGAGCTTTTTCCCCCTATTAAGTTAGGGACAAAAATTTTTAATTCTGAGACATTGAGGGCATGTTTCTAGTTATATAGGAGGTCTAGGCTAAATTTTCGTTTTGTAATATAACCTAAATTTGGTTGGTTGGTTTGTTGTTGTTTGCCACAAGTATTTTATTGATTACCTGCAGAGTTTACTTAGGAGGATACCAAAGCTTACAAAACATATAATCCATAAACATTATTCTAGCTTATCTGCATTGATTTATTGCTGAAGTTCTATTTATTGTATGTTTAAAGTTATTTCTTACCTAGTGAGTCTCATGATTATCTTTTAATATTAGAAATGTAATCTTGGACTAAAACTCAAAAAGTATTTTTATAAATACTAATGAGGTCAATTAGGAGTCAGTGTTCATAAATACTTAGAGCACTGTTTCACTGGGACTGTAGACCTTGGTCTTTAAAAATAGAGACACTGTGGCCTTAGTCTAGTTGTTCTGAATCAGGATCTGTGGGCATGTAATCTGGGAATTTACATTTTAAAGTAGTACCTTTTGTCCTTATAGTGTTGAATTCTCTGCAATTGCCATTTATGTCACGCTTGGATCCATGTAATCTAAGATATTAGAGTTGTTGAGATAGGTGTGTGTGTGTCATGGAAGCATTGAAGTCATTTTAAATACTTAGTAATCAGATTAGCAAGTATTTCAGTAGTTTTCAGTAGTATTGTTTTTACAGTTAGTGTTTTATTAATTAATCTATAGAAAGTAAATAGTTGCAGTGAGATTATTTCTTACCTTAAGAACAAATATATGTCCTTAAGGCTTTTTAAAAATAGCTGGGCCCAGGCCCCACATCATACAAATTAATCAAAATACCTAAGGAATAGGCTGAATCTTGATACATTTTCAAGAGTTCCAAGTGTTTTAATGTGCAGCTGCAACTGAGCAACAGGGATGTATACAAATGACCAAAAAGAAGAATGATGCTGCTAATCCAAAAATTATTGATATTTGGCTTGGAAATCTATTGTACTCCAAACCACATACTAAAAGTATGACACTGTAGGATCCAAATCCTCTTTTCCCTAACTGCTTGTCTCTGACCCATTTAAAAAAAGCAAAGAAAATTAGAATCAAATTTTTTTAGCAAAGAACATTTTACTCTGGCTAATTTTAGTTCCATTTTAGAGGCAATTTCTCTTTAAGATCTCTGCTAAGTTTCACTAGGTTGAGTAAAGTACTGATTGGGCAGTTTAATTGATAAGGAATAAACTTTTGACCTTTTCATGGGGACAGATATATTTAATCAGTTGATTTTTATGATTTTTTGGCATTTATAACCAACTCAAATGTAATCAAGAATTATTTTTCATTATCTATTTTGAACAAGGAAAATATTTTCTGGAGTGTGGCTATGTTCATGTAGGACATCAGAATCAATATGTTTAAAATTATATTTTAAAAAATGTTCGTAGGAACTAGGCAGCCAGATAAATTTAGTACTGTAGAAAGTGCTAAACTTAATGACATGGATTACAATATATGTTCCACAGACCTTTGATTCTTCTAATGTGAAAATTTCATCATTAGTACAGTTTATTTACATAAAACACATCCTTTGTTATACACCTCCCTTTGTCCAAACTCATTAAAGAAAGTCAGAAAGAATAATTTCAAGATCTGCTTTTACATTTAAAATAAATGAGACCATATGTATAAACTCAAATTTATGATATTTTCTTATGTTTCTCTTTTAGATGTTTATTGAGAATATCAGTTTCTGCATGTGGGCAGTAGATATTGAAGGTTATATGGTTTACAGAAAACATCTTTAAAAGATAAACACTCAAGGTAAGTAATAACTATAGCCTCATAAATAATCTCATTTAAATGGTTAAGGTTGCCAGATTTTAATTTGACTTGCTAAACTTGCTTACTTTTTATTACTGGCCCTGTCTAAATGACCTGACAACCACTTTTATTCGTATTCAGACACACATTTTTATGCCCTAACACCATCTTGACAGGAAGTATCAGATTTTATTTACCACAGGCAGTTGATAAAATTGGTACATTATCATGGAAGAGAGCAAATCCATTAAAAAGAATGAAGAAGTAGCTTCTATTAGCTTTGTGAGCACAACTCAGTCCATAGAGTTATACTTGAAACAATAATTAACAAAAACTACTATTCACTGCACTTTTTAAAATGTATTCATTAATCTGTTCTTTAACCATGTTAAGAACTTGTTCTTTAACCCTCCAAAAACCCTGTCATAGTTTCAAATACAGTATTGCCCCTGAATACCAAATCTTTTGTCACTATTTCTTGTGTCCCCAAAGATTTGTCTTGAACGAGCATATCCTTTTACTTAGCATGTTCTGTTCATGCCTCTGGTAATAACATGCTTGCATTACTAAGCAAATTTTTAAAAACATTTTGGTAAAATTTTGAGTGACATATGAAGGATACAAAATACAAATAATGTTGCACGTCAGATGGCACAATGGAACCTTGGAGAGTACGTGGCCTGTAAATGGGGCACCTCTGTTCAGCTCTTTAATTCTTTCTCAGTGGAAATAAGAGACCAGTCAAATCATATTTTATGATTTTTTTTGAAAGAAACCAGAAATACAGATTTTGAAAAGTTCTAATTTTCCAATATCAGCATAATATTTGACAGTGAAAAATCCACTTTTGCCACTGTGTGAGCCAAATAAAACAGTTTATAGCCTTTGGTAGGGGAATTTTTTTTTCCCCTTTTTTCTGTTTCTTTATTCTTTTAGAATGCAAGTACTTAGAATCTATTTTTTCTCCCTAATTTGTAGTTAGCAGCTTAGCGATTTTGCTAGTTTTCTGTGATGACTATTATTGTCAGAAATGACTTCTCTTGAAAATATAAATGATATAAATATTACTTATTTTTAATTCATTTGTATAGTTATATATGGTGAGTTGGTTACTTGGACAGCTATTCAGTTGTTTCCTGAATAATAATAATTACACAGTTATTTTTATAGTTTGTTCATCTCCACAGTCTAAAATGGAGCCTTCTGATTTAGGAAAAGAAAATGGAATCTTTTTTTTCTTTAATGAACCTTTTGCATAGAAAACAGAGTAAATCATTCTCCTCAGTCCATGGCACACTGTCATCACTGGTCCATACAAAGCACTTATTTATATTTTTTATTTATTTTCTTTTTAAAAAAATATGTTTTTATTGATTTTAGAGAGAGAGGAAGGGAGAAGGATAGAGAGATAGAAACATTGATAAGAAAGAAACATTCACTGATCTACTACCTCCTGCATGTTCCCTGCTGAAGATTGAGCCTGTAACCCCAGCATGTGCCCTGACCTAGAATAGGTGACCTCTTGGTTCATGGGTTGATGCTCAACCACTGAACCACACCAGACAGGCCTAATGTAACTGGTTTTTAGGGTCTTTTAGGATCTTTAAAATATATGAAGCAAAAAGCAATAGAGTTGCAAGGAGAACTAGACAAATCCACAGTTATAATTAGGTATTTCAACTTTCCTTTCTCAACAATTGTTCAAAAATGTAGGCAGAAATCAGTTAGTAAACAAACCTTGAACAACTATAAAATCCAACCTGACCTAATTGCCATTTATAGAACATATATTCAATAACAGCAGAATTTACATTCTTCACCACTATGGGAACATTCTCCATGATAGACCATATGCTGGGTCATAACACAAGTCCCAGTAATTTTAAAAGATTGAAGTCATCCAGAGTAGGTTCTCTATAGAAAACAGAATTAAGTATTAAACTAAAAAGAAAATAATGTGAAAAAAGTCCCAAATATTTAGTAATTAAGCACTATACTTCTAAATAACCTATGAGTCAATTAGAAATCATAAGGGACATTGGAAAATATTTTAAACTGAATGATAAAACACAACATATCAAAATTTGTGGAATGTATGTTAAGCAGTGCTAAGAGAGAAATTTATCATTTTAAGAGAAGCAAAAGCAAATCCATTAGTGACTAGAAACAAGGAAATAATATAAAAGCAGAAATCAGTACTTAGGAAATACCAAAAGATAGAGAAAATCAGTGAAAGCAAAAGGTGGTTGTTTGAAAATACCAATAAAATTAATAAATCTCTTGCTAGACTGATCAAGTTCAGGAGAGAAAGAAAGAGAGAGAGAGAGAGACCATTAAAATAGCCAGTGAGGAGTCTTGATGATGACAGCCTTTAACTTCTTGAATCACCTTATTGAAATATGGCCTGGCTGCTATCCCTTATCTCTAATGGACAGGTATCATTCTCGGATCTGTCTTCCTAATCTTTTATGGGATTTCCTTTTTCTCTTCCTGTTGCTTAAACCTTTTCTTAAGGTTTTGCTTTCTCATTTTTGTGGAGCCAGCCCAGCCCTCTGGGGGATTCTTGAGAAAGGATGTATAGGAAATAATTTTTCATTCTCACTGACCTTTACATTTCCATGAACGTTAGATCTTTTCACTTTGCCTTCATTTATGTTGCCTTAAGGTAATTAGGAATAGCTATTTAAAAATGTGTTTGCACCACCATTAAAAAATACTTTCTCTCTGCTTTATATTGTCCCTGTAACTACATGAGGAAAACATTCTGAAAAAGGCTTTCATGAGAAAGAAAATTCAAGAAGACATTGTTATTAAAAGAATCAATCCCCTTAGATAAGCTTTATTAACCAGAATTGTGTTTAGCAAAAAAAAATATGTATTTATTTGTGTAGATTTCTTGTAAGTCACATTAAGATTTTTTTCATCACTAATATATACAAGATTTAGTATCAAGAAAACTTGATGTTTCTTTTGAAATGCAATGAGGTAGATAGTCTGGTAACCTAAGTGGTCAATGGACATATGTGAGCTAGAGTAAGCTCTGGGTCCTATTGTTGTTTCATATAAATATGAATGGCTTTGCCTCATTGATCTGCAGTAATTGGGACTACTTTACTGTGTCAAACAAAGGAGATTTTTTTCCTTGGCCAAATGGTGTGTGTGTGAAAAAAATATACATATGTATATATTTTATATATATAACTAGCCCAGTGCATAAAATTCGTGCATGGGTGGGGTCCCTAGGCCTGGCAGGAGATCAGGGCTGATCAGGGCCAGGCCCATCAGGGCCCGAAGGCCCTGGTGGGGTCGGGAGAGGAGGTGATGATGGCTGGGCCGGGTGCAAAAGGAACAGATGCCAGATGCTGACGCTGCCCTCAGTGCCCTACCACCCCATGGTTCCCTACCACCCCCACTCCTTCCCTTAGTGCCACGCTGCCACCGGGGGCCTGCTGGCTGGGGGGAAGAGAGGGGGAGTGGCCAGGGAAGGTTTCGATCCCCAATTTGGAACATGCAGGAGGCAGCCAGTCAATGATTCTCTATCATCATTGATATTTCTCTATTTCCCTCTCCGAAATCAATCAAATATATATTTTTAAAATGCAAGGTTTTTAGAGGAAGAAAGGTAGGGCAAGGGAGCTATTAACAGGGGGGCATTTGAGATCTTGCTCACATTTCAGATAGGATAACGTAAGGTGGCCCTCAGGGGGTGACAGGTGAGGAGTGGCAGTGGGTGGAGCAGGGCACTGCGGGGTGAGGAACAGGCTGTAATGACTGGGAATGTCTATGCTAGTGACACTGAGTGTGTGTTAGGGCCATTGCTGGGATCATTCCCAAGAGGTATTGATTCTGGACGGGAGGAGAAACACAGAGATCAGCAGGCCTTTCTTAGCCTAGAAGGTGATGCGGGCAGCAGGAACAGGCTACCCTGCTTCCCTACAAATGTAAACATGCAGTGTAACTGCACATGGACATCAGTCACATGGCCAAATCAATGCCCAGCCAGCGCTGGTAGCTGTGTCCTACCACTCTCTGGTTTAACTGCGGTGCTATTGGCTGGTGCAGGGGAGGGGGGGGCGAAGACACGCCCCCAAGCACACATAATTATGCAAAGGGGTGAGGGGGAGCAGGAAGCCAGAAGCTGAAAGCTGGAGCTGACATGGCGCTATTGGCCGGGGAGGCCGAAGCCACGCCCCCAAGCCTATGTGGTATAGGAAGGGGCAGGCAGAAAGCCAGAGGCTGGAAGTCAGAGCTGAGGTGTCCTGGCAGCACTGCATCTGCCATGGAGCTGTACTGGGAGCAGCTGTTGTTGCCACTGGCTTTGGAGTCGGAGGGGCTGCACTTCCTGTACATCGCCAGTGAGTCCCTGCGAGCCCATGGCACGCAAGCCAGGCCAGGCGGGGCCTGGGGAGGCCTTTCCCTCCTGGCACTGTTCTTTCCAGGGTGGCAGTATAGGCCACTTTTTTTTTCAATTTATTTTTTTTGTTGTTGGAAAGGAAGCTCTGAGCTTGCAGTTCCTGGGATCCCAGGACCATAGCATGCATCTCCAGGCCTCACTACACCCCCCTATCCCTACTCCTGCGTTGAGCATCTGGCCCCTAGTGGTCAGTGCGCATCATAGTGACTAGGCCGCCTGTCGTTCTGGTCGTTACACAGTTATGGTCACTGGGCTTTTATTACATAGGATATCTACATATATAAAAGCCAAGCGACTGGAACACCAGAACGACCGGAATTACTGGTTGCTCCGCCTTGCACTGTCTTATAAGTACCGCGCGCTAACCGATTGCGCAACTGGAGCTCCAACTGGTTGCTCTGACATGTACTTCGGCCCTGATCGGCCCCTTTACCCTGATCAGGGGTGGAGCTGACTGGCCAACCACCCACAGCCCCTCCCCCTGGCTGGCCCAGACCCGATTGGGGCCAATCGGAGCAGGCTGGCCAGACCCCGCCCATGCATGAATTCTGCACCAGGCCTCTGATATTTTATATATAGCTTTTGA